TATCCATTTCCCCATCCAAAATAGAATCACTAAGCCTAAGGCTTAGATCATGGTAAAACCACCAACTCTCAGGCCTTATTCACCAAGCCTAAAGCTTAAACCGAAGAATAATAATTCATAATCTATAAATTTGTCTAGCCTAATACCTAATACCTAATATTCTTTCATATTTATCCATCTGTTCTATTTCAAACTCCCTGAAATATATTCCTATACAGATTATTAACCGGGATGATCCTACTCGTTTGCGTTAACAACAGAAGACCAACGCTACCATCAACACACCCAGGAACATAAAGAAATCCAGCAACGCTTAGACTCGCAGGATTTCCTTATAAAACAACTACACTCCAGAAATAACATCCCCAACAACGATATTTGTTCTATCAATAAACAGATCAATGAGCTTGAAAAACGGGTCGAATACAACAAAATTATCACCCGCTCTTATAAAATTCAAATCTATGACTTCAACCCTATTGACCATCACGACTTCTCTACAGAACATATCAACGACGACGGCGAAAACAAGATCAAGGAACACGCCTATAAACCATATATTCAGCTACTTCACGACAGCTTAAACTGGAACGACCAAAAGATTATCTTTTCACAGTGGTCCGACATGAATTGGATCTTCAATTCTACATCCTCATCCTGGTCAAATTTTCCAACAGCAACTCCAAAAGCTTAGTATTAACCTTCAAAAAACGTATTTCCAGAACTTTTCGACCGCATGAAAAGCCTATCTTCATTTAGAAGAACCTTACCAAAAAACAACTCAATATCTATCACCAATGCAGAGTTATTACTAGTGAACTACGCAGCAAAGGATACTATACCAGATGCGAATATGCTAAAATCAGAGAAGACAAACTAAGACACGTAACCGGATATTGCCATCATGCGCGAAACCCATCGGCAACACTTCAACGGCACTGTAGGCTCCACAAGAGGAAGCTTTCGGAGAAGCACCGGAATTGCCCTCAGGGATCAGTCTGGTCACTGGAGGCACCCCGAAAGGAAGCTTCGGGAGGAGCGGCAGATCCGATCAGGCGAAGATCAAGGGTTGAAAGCCATGAAAAATAGGACTCAGTTGAATTCCGTTCATTCGTCTTTATTATCATTATCGATTGAAATTGTATTCAATCTTTTTTATAATTTTCGGAGTTACAAAACGTTATCATTTTTCAGTTTGTATTCTGTTTTATTGATTTTTAAGCACTTCGTGATTGTTAGTAAAATAAAGTAATTAGTTAGAATAAGCCTATTGCAAAATATTAGTGCTGTAAAAACTGCAGCACCAGAAATAACTTAGTCGTAGATTTAAAATTCCTATCTTTCAGGTCTTAAACTCTACGGTTTGAGATCGAAATAGTAATATAAAGAGCTTCAGGTTGGGTTGTGGAGAGGCTAGCTGTGCCCACAATGAAGTTAAGTTAGAAAATTACAGAAGTAATATTGCGAAGTGGAAGGACGGCCTTAGTAGTTGCCCTTCACTTCTGAGAGATCTGTCTGTTAGCCGCGATACCAGATTCGACTCCAAAGATTGCATGTTAAATTATCTACTTTAAATAAAAAGCAACTTTAGATCAACACGAGGCAATTTAAAGGGCAATTATTTTGAAAGTACTGCGAAATTTGAAATTGGGTAGTTCTTTTTTGTACATGACGGACCGTCTGCTCATTTTGAATCTAGATGCGCTTTCCTACCAATCAGCGGTACTATAAGAAATGTAGGCGCGATCATACCTTACAGTGTAAGGTGCTCGGCTGCCGTACGTCCCCTGAGGGGAAACTCTTGCAGGGACAAAAGACGGATTCGCTACAGAGGTGGAAAAGATGTATAAGTGTGGAGTGGTAGTCGTTTAGGTTCAGTGCCTTTAATCCCTTTTAATCGGTGGTTTATTCCTTGGGCTCCTATGCTTCAAGTTTCGTACGCGTACCCTTAGGCAGATAGAGTCTTCGTGTGTGTTTCCTTTTAGTAATTGGATAAATGTGTTTGTATTTAAAGTTGTTGATTTATTATTACGCTACGAGATATAGAGTAGTTATTAAGACAGTTTTCTCTTGCTTTGTTTCTATTGTATTACTTTAAGGTGTAACTAATAAAGTGGCTAGCATTAAGATCAACCACACACAAAAAGCGGTCCAGCTAGTTGCTAAGCTTCAGTAAGATAATTGGAAGTCACTCAGTATTTTTCTAAAGCTAGCACAAAAGTGACTTCGGCTCAACACCAGGAAACTCGTTCCAGATCGTTCCAGAAAAATTTGAAAGCAAGAGCACGTAGCGGAATTATCCGAAGAGTTAAGGCGGTTGATGCTATGAGTAGGAAGGAGTGTTCCGCTTTCAACAATAGTGGTGGGAACTAGGTCCCATAGGACAGTCAAGAAGAGGAGACGAGGAGATAGAATTTTCAGGTTTAGAAGACTGTCTTTAGTCAGAACAGAAGGTATGGTGCTGGTAAATCAATACCAGAATACTGGTGGGTAGATGGATTTGCAAAGGCAATGGTGTTGAATGAAAATGAGTATTCTAATCATAAACGGCAACATGCCAAAAATCTGTTTTTTGAGAGATTACTGTTTTCCTTGAACAAGGGAGGATAGGATTTTGTTCGCCTTCTGCTGTAGGCTGGAATGATTTTTGCGGAGATATAACCATGACCTTGGTATTGGAGCTTTAACAACTTCTTTGGTCACCCTATATAGTGAATCAGTAAGTTCTAAGTACACAACTAGAACACTGTAATTGCATAGGTATTTTTGAGCAGGTCATAAGGGGTCAAGAAATGTGAAAACTGTGAGCAAAAGAATTGCGCAAGCAGTGCGTTTGAATCTACGAGATCATGGTTGCGGAGTGCCTACTCTTTCTCCTGCATCACCTGCTGAAATGAAAAGGATGTTGCGAGGTTGCGGAAGGATCAAAGCGACATTTCAGCCTTGGTTCACTGCAAAGTTAGCGAAAACTGTATAACAAATATGGGATATTGCAGACAAATTAGGGGGATTGAGAACCCTATATACGAAAAATGAAGTAAGGTATAAACACGATTGAAAAGCAAGCGTGTTTGGCAGTAGGGTCACTCAGCTGCAGCAGTGCCACTTTTTGCTGACAAAGGAATTTCTGCAATAAATTGGGTTTAAGGAAAAGTTTCAGAAGTTGTGGCTATTATTTTTGCATGTAAACAGTTGACTATATGATGATTCTTAGTTCTCATTAACATTCAGTGTTCAGCTGACTTCAGTGTCGTGAAGGTTCTGGCTGCTTAAGGAATAAATATCCTTTAAAAATATTTGCGGATTTGCTAACTCCGTTTTTGAGGCGAACGCGGAACGCTTTATTTGAAAACAAATAAGTTGTTTTTTTTACAAGAGTTACTCAAAATAAGATATGATGAGAATGCTTTAGTTTGTATGTACATTATTGCAAAAAACAAACGGAAGATAGATAAGATATTGGTAAACTGATTGTGACAGTACTTTTTTGTCGAAAATATTATCAGTTTTATGGAATTTGCTTCAGATTTGGCCGGATGCAGAAAACTACTCCCTAAAAAGATTTCTAAAGGTCTTTACCAGTTGTGAAACTTTTGAATTCTGCATCAATGGTTAGTTTTTTTTGTACTAAGCTATAAAATCTCAGGTTTGTCATACACTGAGGCTCAAATTGAAACTGGATTGAAAATGCAAGTGAGTTTCATCTATTTCGGTGTACTTCATTACGATTTCTTTTTCCTTTTACCATCTTTCTTCGTTATTAAGGCATCGAGAAAGAGAGGATTAAGCGCAGACGAGAAGAAATCAAGGCTTCTGCAACTTTTTTATGAAAGCAATGAGTTCTTTTTGGTATTTATTGCAGTCTTCTGCTCTTAAAAAGATGTTCAATTTATTGGTCTACACAAGAGACTTACGCATAGTTGCGCAGTAGTTCACTCTGAAACGTTTCCTGGGGATGATCTTTGGAATGAAAATATTGCATTCTGATCTAGACAAAGTTGCTTTATGACGTAGAAAAAGACTGCTTACTTTAGATGAAGGAGCTTGAAAGGCGCGCTCCTAAGGAGAAAGGTATTGTACCTCAATCGGTAAAAGAGGTGACTCAACTGCTTGTTGATGAAGGGCTTGTCGAGTGCGAGAAAATTGGCACACTTTCGTGCTTCTGGGCATTTCCTTCAAAAGCTACTCAAACTGTCTGAGTTATTTCCTGTACTTGTTTTCTTAGTGATTCGGCAAGAAAACGCTTGAAATGATCCTTGGAAGTTTAGCGGAAAAGAAAACTGGAAGATTTGGATGCGAAAATTGGTGAAGCAAAGAAAAAAGTTGAGAGTTTGAAGGAGGAAGTAAATAAGGCAAGACTTGGTAAAGAGGTAATTTACTGGAACACACTCATTTTGCATAGACAGTATAAACAAGGTAAGTGATCTTCACGTTCTGGATAGGAAACAAAAGAGCGCGCAAAACTCATTTTGCGATATTCGTCATTAAGAGACACGTTATCGGAGCTACGTCAGAAGCGTATTAAATTGGATGAAAGTGGTCCAGAAGCAATTATGCGTGCAGAGAGTAGTGCGTCTGCAGCTCGGGATGCCGTCAATCGTTGGACAGGTAGCCTCATCGTTTGAAGAAAATCCGTTGTAATAGATCAAATGGAAAGATTTTTTCTTTCATCTTCTTATTGCTAAGACAGTCAATCTTTAAAGTAACTTCTTGATTTTCAGATAACATTTTTGCTATCAAGAAATGGTGTAAAAAAAAATTTGCTATGGAAGAAAAATGTCTTGACAACCAGTTTGGTATTGACCCAGACATGGACTACGTTGACTAAGCCATTGCTACTAATAGAGGTGATTTTCCTTAATAATTGAACCAAGATCGTCTGATTGTGCAGAAAGAAATTTTATTTTTTATTTTTATTTTATTTTTGTATTTTTTTGTTTTGCTACCATTGCCAATTCGCTCGGAAGTTGCAAAATTATAGGGGTGAACGCTGTAACTCGTACGTGTTTGTCATGTCAAAAATTTGAAATGGAAAGTTAGCATAAAACGGTGGTCGCCTTCCTGTCCTTCATTAATACCATATTGCAAGTTCAAGAACTGACAAATGCTTAAAGACTGCTGAATGTACGGGGTGACCTAATCGGATGTGGTAATTAAGCAGCGCGATTTATGAGCTCTATTTCGTCAATTTTTTAAATTCCCGACTTTACTCTCATTTTTCATTATTTGTTGTTATATTGAAAAATCCTTTGAAAGCTGTAGATTAGGTTCTGATACTAAAGCTGAAGAAAAAGCACTGTAAAGGTTTTGGCGGAACGACTTTTATTTTGTCATTAAAGGTTTGTAGCCTTTTACATATGCTTGTTCTGTTCTTTTAAATTCCAATGCAGCTTTTTTCACTTTTTGGGGTTCTCAGCCAGGAATCTATGGGTTTAAAGGACTGTTTAGAACGATGTAAGTGACTTTCAAAAAGGTGATTTTAAAAAAAGAGCTTGACTTTTTGTTACAAAACTACTTATTTTCTGTCACTTTATTGCTCCTACCGTGTTCTTTTCATATACTTTAATGTCGTAATGCTTACTCATCAATTGCGCCATGTGTTGATTCGTAAGAGCTTAATTGCATTATCAGCAAAAATGTGCTCTTGTTTTTCATTCAGCTGAATTACGAGTTTCCAGAGCTGTTACTTCGTTTTTTAATTTTTATTCTATTTCATTAATTTATTTTTTGGCTTTGGTTCCTGGTTTGAACGCGACACATCCTGTGCAGACGAAAATAGAAAGACCAGATAAAAACTCACATATGACTTTATGCTTAAAGCATCAAAAACCTGGCCTTGATTGCTGGAAAGTTCATTGTTTTTACGATATGACTACCACTGATTTGCGCGAAATGTAAGCAGCAACCCTTAAGGGCTTGTTTTTCTGTAACCCAATGATTGCTGCAGTCCACTCTTTGATATCATACACGTTTGCAGAATTTTTGGCTTACCTGAAACTTCCAATTAGCAGCGCAGTGCATCTTGTTGAAGTGTAGTGCCATTTTGCTTTCCTCTTTTTTAAGATTAGAGATTAATTTGACAGTGTTAGTGGAGTAGTGTTAATGACACGTTCCGTCATGTAAAGGAGTAGTTAGGAGGTTTTGCACGTTACTGCTGCAGAATTACTGTTATGAATAAAGTAACAGTCAACGTTTTTGACGTTTTTCACATTCTAGGCCTTGATTTCTGCTGATTCTTAGCCAATTGTAAGTAAACTGCTGCAAACGAAGCGTTAGACAAGTGTAAACTGTAAAGTCTCTGCAGTTAAATTTGAAGGATTAATCTATTAAAATAAATTTTGAGTTCAAGTCTTGGATCATTCTACAGTACAGAAATATCTAGTATTGCTTGAGATTTGCAGATGATATAGCTCGCTGGTTAATAGGACAACAACGTTTATCATATTTGGTGGAACAGTCAATAAGAGTGAGCAACAAGTAAGACTGTAATTAAAAGAGTTGTGAACAGTTGAAATAAACTTTTTAAATTAAAGCCTTCAACCTTTACGCTTAGAAAATCGTAATTTTTTAATATAAAACAACTTTTCTGTAACTATCATCAAAAAAATGTTCGTTTTGTAATGTGAAATAGTAGAGTATTGAATTTGCAGACAAGACTGTTACGACAGTGTCGTTTAACAAGTGGTCAGCAGCCTAAGTGAACAAACGTAAGCATTTAACATTGGTAAACAAATATTAAGCAGCAACTTTAAAAAATTGAATTATGAAAAGCATTACAAGGAAATTCCAACTTATATGGCAACAAAAACACCCTTTTAATTTGGCAAGTACTACCAAAAAAATTGTTTTTTTAGTTTGTCTTGCAGTCTTTTTCCTTCCGCTGTATACTAAACGTCACTGAAGCCAAATGCATTACAAGAAGCAAACAATGGGTTATCGAATACTACTATTATGTATGTACAAGACAACGTTTTGTAACGTGTGTATCAATAAACACCGTATATAAAGCAACCGGGAAGTACAAACATTAGGCGCATATACAGTTCTAAGCTGATTCTGACTCTGCGTAATGCTGCACATATCGATACTGAATTTGATCATATCCTTCTTCCGTGATATTTTCACGAGGATAATTTTGTGTAAAGTACTTTTCTTTCAACTTTGAAGTTCTCTTTTCTTTCCAGTGCTGGTTTCGATTTCTCTCTGCAGATGGTAACAAACTGCTGTGGGGTTCCCCTAGAAAACTTACGTTTGAACGCGCTTCCCTATCTCTGTCTTCTGCTCGTTGTGAAGATTTGGACTGAGGTTGGGCTCTCCTAGTTAATGCCGTTTGCGAGGCTTTTGATTCTGAAGATAATGGCAATGTCTTCTGCGAGGGACTTTGCTGAGACGGATACTCTCCAAGAATGCTATTATGGAATCTGTATTCGTCTTGTAACTGTTCTTTGCTGCCCGTTTTTAGTTCCTCAGCATCTAACCGTACAACGTGAGCTACTCCGCAATCAGCTGCATCCGCTGGGTCCCGTTGAGTCATTTTGAAGGCAGGTCTGGAGTGGCTTATAGATGAATGGGCACTTTCTGTGGGAGATTCTGAAGGCGTGTAATAGATTCTTTGTTTTCCATAATGCCAGTTCTCTGGCCTTCGGTGATCACTTGCCTCGGGAATTTTTTTTCGTGTTGGTTGTGGAAGTGGAGGTAAAACTGGTACTACAGGGCCTAATTTTTCCATTGGTTTTTCAGGACTTTTTTGTTCTTTTGGTTTCGCATCAGCTGTTATTACTGGAGCGGGTACACTAGGGGTTTCTTCAGACTTCTTGCTTTTGGTAAATAACCAGTAAGCTAACGCAGGTAGTATACAACATAAGAAGAGTAGAAGCAAAAAAGCGCAGAGGAGCCAAAGCCACCAAGGAGTTGAGGACTTTTTTGTGCGAGTCACGACTGCCGTATCCATTGCTACCATGTCTAACTTGTTTGTTTGAATATTTATCACCTGTTGAGGACAGTTTTCGATCGATCGGCTGACATCTCTGCCACATGCTCTCTGGAAAAGTTTCTCATTAGAGTCGCTGAGACATAGATCTGTTCCGTTAGTCTGCGAAATGAAATCTCAATTTCTGCCTTAAGAAAGAATAAGGGATATAGAAACCAAGTAAAAATTTAAATGTATGTTTTTTATAACATCATAAAATAACCAAAATCCTAATCTAAAGCGAAATTTTAAGATTATAGAAAGTTATCTATGGATAGCAAACTTTGTTTTCGTTTCAGTAAGCTTTATGACACATCGGGATTCTGCAAAAGTATGATTGTCTTTTGCTGTTTTATAGCCAGCGTATGGAAGGAACTGAAGAACAATCTTATTCTATGAGAATTCTTAAGAATGTTTGTTAAAGATAGTTAAGCGCCGTCGTTGGTTTTAGCAAGAGCAAGTAATTTTACTTTATGAAAAATAACAGTAAAAATGAGAAAACAACAGTAATTTGTACTGAAACTGAAATTTTGATTAAAATCAGTGCATTGCAATTTTTTCGCCATTACCAGTTTCATCTGTAAGAGAAAAAATTCTGCTTTATTTAACAGAGATTAGAATTTGGCCGTTTCGCTAGGTGGGTTTTACGGAAACTTCTGTTTTCCCTTCCATAAATGTTATCACACCGAACAAAGTGGTAAAAGATTCGTCAGTTGAATGTTTGTTTTTCATCTGATAATTTCTAAGAAGAATGTCAGCTGTGACGTTTCAAGTCTACTTTTTGAAAAACATTCAGTAATCTGCCGAGCACTGTTTGCCTTAACCAACCGACGAAGAATAAACCTTGATATTACAAAAAATGGAAGTTTATGAACCTCAGCGCAACCGCAGCACTCAATCACTTTTACTCGACACTCGATGGCCACAAGTGGTTCAGGAGCATGAAAGTGTACCAGGGTTCGTTTAGAGAGTCCTGGATACCCATAAGCATCGTTCTCCCATTTTTTTACAAAGTAATTGCTGGCAATAAGGCAGCTTAAACGTTTATCAATTGTAAAAAACGCTAAGAACAAAAATGTATAAAGTAAACTGAAAAAAAATGAATAATAAAAAAAAATTTAAATTTACAGGAAGAAAATTTCTGGTAGAAAAAAAAGTTTTTTCTGATTTATTGTTCAATATTTCTGCGAATTAATTCTGATCTAGCTTCAGCATTGGCAGTTTAGGCAATTTACAAAACCAAAACCTGTTGTGATCAATAAAATGATATTTGGAATTATAGGTGCATCGTTGTATTAAATAATCGTACTGATCAGTTTCATCCATTTTAATTTCCATTGTATACTTCTCGCCAACAGCAATTGCGCTTGGTGGAACTAAAAAGAATTTTTTTTTTGGTTAAAAAAATTGCTTTCTAAAAATTATTAATTAAAAAATTGACAGTGAAATATAGAAAGTAATTTTAAAAACAAAAAAAAAAGTTTAGATTTTAAATTTTATGTGACAATGTCGATATTTTTAAGAACTTTGCCATTAAGGTTCAAACTTTTCAAACAGTCATTTTTTAATCAGTCATAAAACAGATTTCTAATATCAACAATTCAATCACAACGTTTAATGTTGCTTAACCATTATGCGTTTCTGATAGCAGAATGTAGCTACATATGAGTTTCAAAGCCGATTTTCAAATATAAAGG